TTTGGTCTTCTATATATATGTGAACTGGGACAATAAATATATATCCCTCACCACCAGTTGTGTTCGCGATGAGACGCGCGAAACTATCTAAATAGCGAGCCACTTTTGTTCCGCTATTCGTAACTGAGCCTTCCATCGGGTCGCGTTTCCGCTGCCTTGTAAGACAACCGTCTTCGCTATCAGTTCCCAATCCGGTTCCTCACTCTCACGCTATCTGTCAACCACGGCAATAACCAATCATACCTCTTCCCCCCCCCCTCTGTCGTTCAATCACCCATCTCCTTGAGTGTGCCGGCCCGGTAATCAATTGTCTATCATCGTGATTGACACTCAACTCTCGTTTCATGCAATTTCCTTCTCCTGTGAGTGCTCATCACCGTTCAAACAGCTTTGGAGGGGAAAATCAAAATGATTAATCTTATTTTTCTTGATATTTTTTGTATAATTTTGAATTAGAATTAGTAATAACACATTAAATAGGCTGCCAGCAGACGATGTGAGCAAACAATGTAGCGTCCAGCAGACAATGTAGCGTCCAGCAGACAATGTAGCGTCCAGCAGACAATGTAGCGTCCAGCTGACAATGTAGCGTCCAGCAAACAATGTAGCGTCCAGCAGACAATGTAGCGTCCAGCAGACAATGTAGCGTCCAGCAGACAATGTAGCGTCCAGCAGACAATGTAGCGTCCAGCAGACAATATAGCGTCCAGCAAACAATGTAGCGTCCAGCAGACAATGTAGCGTCCAGCAGACAATGTAGCGTCTAGCAAACAATGTAGCGTCCAGCAGACAATGTAGCGTTCAGCAGACAATGTAGCTATCGACAAACAATGTAAGTGCCAGAAAGCACCATTTGAGTACCAAGCAATAGGAGTAGGTGGAGGCGTTTGAGAGGCAGCTTTCGTGTCTGGGGTTCGCATCCCCGATCCAATTAGAATTCAGGATAGAGCCTGAGGGGCGCACGTGAGCCTCTGGGTTACGTGCATCCTCTCGAGCACCTAAGATACGTGCATCTTCTCCAGTACGACACGTTAATGCTGCTTCTACATTCTTTCCAATTATCGGTGATCGACAAGGGTCTTATCTCTCTCTCTCTCTCTCTCTCTCTCTCTCTCTCTCTCTCTCTCTCTCTCTCTCTCTCTCTCTCTCTCTCTCTCTCTCTCTCTCTCTCTCTCTCTCTCTCTCTCTCTCTCTCTCTCTCTCTCTCTCTCTCTCTCTCTCTCTCTCTCTCTCTCTCTCTCTCCTGGTCTTTTCTGTCCAATGTTGACGGCGCGAGTTTACATCGGTATCTACTTCAGTTATTGTATCTGGCGGAGCAGGTCAGTAATCCTGCGACAGTGGTTGGAGTCACGGTATTGGAATCACCTCTGGGGGTTACAGGCTGAAAGAGTGGGAACCCTACAAAATAATATTGATATGAAGCCTTCATGTTCGGAGTTTTTTTTTCGGGTCTCTGTGATTCGGTAGGTCTGCAGGAACACGGACACACACACACACACACACACACACACACACACACACACACACACATACACACACACACACACACTCTTGTACCAGTTAACAGCGTGTGTAGGTGTTACGGTCAA